ATTAGGAAGTCTACCGATTAGAGCAAGCTGCCCGTGCTGCTGAAGGGACGCCCAAGTCAAGTGATGCCACGAGTAATGTTCTCCAGTTGGTCTGTCCACCTCCAACGGTCCTCTCGGTTGACGTCGTATCTTCAGATCAGGAGGATGCGTACGATTTGCTGGTAAGTAATCAACACTTGGTTCTATTTGTCTTTATTTATATTCCTTTTCGTGAAGTCAAAGAAAATAATCGCATGCTAATGGTGTCTCGTAGTAGGAAAACAGCTGCATTCGTGTTAACTACGGTTGGTGCTTCAGTGCAGTAGAAGAGTCCATTCGGATCGAGTGGTTTTGGTCAAATTGCTCAAGAATGAATAAAGATCCCTCTATTTTCGGAGGTAAAGTCGACGAGCACAGTTGTTTCTAAGTGAGTGTTTTGCTTGCTTTACTCAATCATTAGGCGAATCTCTTAAGACTTAAGATAGGATTTATGTGAAGACTTTCATTTCGTATAGAAGTACATGATGAAGACATTTTTGGGTAAATCTCAACACAAAAGGTCGGCTGATTCGTGTTGTACTGCAGACACTTGGCCTTAATACGACGTTCAGGTTGATGCAGTCCGCAAGACGTCCTCCAAAGTTCATGGCGAAGACGGGCTGAGCTTTCGTTCGTCTTATGCCGAACATCATCAGAGCTGGGATTCATGCTTTCAGAAGCAATGTTCGCAATGAGCATATATTTTTCATATAGAAAAGGTCTGTCAGTCTTCTTGACTTGGTGTTAACTTGAGGCTTTTGCAAGAATGAGTCCCAGCTCCGACGATGTTCATCACATGACGAAAGACAGTTCCGCCCATCTTGGCCCGATGGCCTGCTGCATTCGTGTTAACTAAGGTTGGTGCTTCAGTGCAGAAGAGGAGTCCATTCGGATCGAGTGGCTTTGGTCAAATTGCTCAAGAATGAATGAAGAACCCTCTATTTTTGGAGGTAAAGTCGACGAGCACAGTTATTCCTCAGTGTTTGTTTTGCTTGTTTACTCAATTCTTAGGCGATTGACAACCGGGCTTCCGAAAGCTGCTGAACTAATTATTACCACCTACATGCTGAATTACGTATTGGTCATAATTGCAATTACTTGGCTGCCCGATACTACTGAGGACTAGGAAAGATGACTTTCAAAGGAAAGCAACTCCTTTTTGTGGAGAGTATGAGGGCCGAGAAAGCAACCAGTATTTTCCAGTCAAGCATTAGCTTAATGCCTATTCCTTCGTGGGCAATTTGGCATTTATGCCTTTGATGATTATGTCAAGCAGTTATAACAATCTTTATAAAGTTCGCTCGACTAAAAGCTCAGTCTAATTTAGCTGTATTATATTATGTTTAATTTATAAGTAGGATTTTCAGACTATTAGTAGATTATTTGTATATGAAGGGTATCCATCCTTATTTGATTTAAGATGAAAAGGGGACTAGGAGTTGAATTTTCCCACCATCCCATTAGTAGATCTTGCATTTGCACTAAATTTCACATATTCTCGCTTTGCTAAAGGGTGTTCTCATCCAGGATGGGCTGCAGTCTTGACCTCGCCTAGGTTTTGTCAACACTTCCAGCCGGAATCGATCCATGACAGTGCAGGGTGTAATCTTGACACGTTGGCTACTAGTTGGGAAAGCAAGACAATGTGAAATTCAATGAAAATGTTCACTCATAACATTGTGGGACCAAGTTGCGACAACTTGGTCTTTTCGTCAGGGCGACTATGTAGAACGCACCTAGTCCGAAGTCGTCTGCCCTAGTAGTTGTCATGATTCTCAGCATCAGACAGTGGACTTGTTACATTATAAAACTTTTCGCTGGAATCGTAATCGGCATCATCAGTTGGCAAAGCTTTGCTAAAATCATCAGAACGTTAAAATCGTGACTATTAGATATTAGCTTATTATAATAGCCTGGCCCAGATCTCAATATTTATCAAACAAGTCCAATGAATTATGGGGAGCTTATATCCTTAACGTTCTCGATTGTTGTGCAGACTTGTAGAGGAAAATAAAATCCATTATCTGAATTTAATTAGGCATTTTTGAGCCTTAGTTATTGACTAAGAGATTCCTGTTTGTCTAAACTTAGCAGAATTTTATGTATTAGACGGTAAATCAGTCGTCCTGATCAAAAATATTTTAATATTTAATTTAAATAAAATGTGAGATATACTTGCATCGAACTTGGCGTTCAAGTGATACGAATCTTCCTGGACAAATAAGTCGAAATGGACACGTCATGGAGGCAACAATGACTAAAAGCAAAGAAGATATTGCCCATATATGTCAGAAGTCTAACCTACAAAGAGGGAAAACCAGCAAATAAGTTGGCTTGTTTATATTGGCTCGCCTTTCTTGTATTGACTCTGATACAATAACACATAACCTCTATGCAATTATAGCCATGAAAATACAACCTGCACACAGCTTTTGTCATTCAATTCTCTTGCGGGTAACCAAATAGAATATGCTGGCGGATTGTCTTCGTTTTCATATTTACATTCAATGGCCAAGGCTAGTGAGTTGGATGATTCTGTCACGATTATAATATTTGCTTCCTCATTGCTAGCCAAACAGTTGCATACGTCAATCATATGCAAAATGGAGGCGCATTAGCGTGTACATTTCTGGGAGTTCTGTACCCTGTCGAATACGCATGGCTCGAACCATGCCGGTAGTGCTGATGATGCCTGTAACAGGAACCGGAGTATTTTCCCACTTTATGGCAAATTTGACTTTGTTAACACAGTTTCAATGTAGGCATGCTTAGAAGCTGCCAGTAATTGTTGAATAAGGACTTTGTCGCTTTCGGACAGTGAGGTTGAATTCTTTCCCAAAGGATATAATTAAGTCTTATGCTTATTTTGAATTTCACCTAACCTTGACTGTAGTTTGTTTTCCGTCCCCCAAAGACTGCAATTTTGGCTTTGCAGAGGTCTAATCATTGTCCTCAACTAGAGGTTTAGACGACAGTCCAGCCTGGAATAAAAAGGCCAACGAAAGGCAAGGTTAAGCTAGATTCAATAACATTTTGAGGCCAACTCACGCAGTTTTGGGACAAATGATGCTATCAGCCCTCAACTCACCATAAATAGCCTAGAGCTAATGAGTTATAATTCACTAAGATATTCATCAAATGCACGAGATATAATCTCCCCATTTCGTCTAAAGTGATAAAGGACTGGTAAATGAAATTACTCATGATGATATGAGTAGTGCTAACGTTTCCGTTGAAATTCGCATAGTCTTGCTTTTTTAAAAGGCATTCTTATTCAGGTTGAATGGGACGGCAGTTTCGACTTTCTTTAGGTCTCATTACCTCTCCCAGCGGAACTCAAGGCCTGGCGGTGCTACGCATAATCTCGACGCCTTAACCACTACTGATTGTCTAGATAACGTACTTTTAACGGAAAAATGTCCAGGACATTCCACTGCTAAAAAATTATTTTTATGGGTCTCCTCTACGATCCGCACGTTTGCAGATTTTTACTGTTCTGCAACAATCTTTACACATCTACTTTGCTAGATGTGTGTAATTATTCGTGAGTATTGTTAGGGGGACCTTCATTTCATATGAAAGTGCATGAAGAAGAGATTCGTTGGTCTATCTCACCAGATGAGGACGGATGAAACTCGTTGTATTCGCATTCGTGAGTACTTGTAAAATCTGTATTTTTACCTAATTTCCCATTTTCCCGCAACTTCACCAAGCATTTGGCAGGCTCCATAAGTCTTACGCTGACGACTAGAACTGGCCTCGTGCAGGCGGCGCGCCAACTGCGCTCTTCGTTGTCCCGACTCAACTCGGCTCTCGGCCAGCGCTCAGCTCGCCTGGCCAGAGCATACGCCTGGCATGCTCACCTCTGCGCCCTGGCCGAGCTGACCAGCTGGCTGGGGGATACAGAGACGCGCAGCCTACTCGGTCGGGACACGGTTTCAACACGGGCAAGTCGCGACTCTGTCAGCACTCGGATCACCCTGCGCCGGCAGCACGGCATCGAGAGCATCATCATGGGTCCCCAGACGACAGCTTTGGTGGCCCTTCGTGCGTGGAGAAAAGCTACACATAACGCTTTTACAGTCAACCATACTCACTGCATTGATGCCTGCTTGAGATCAGCTTGCCGACACTTCATGAGCCTTGCTCATCCGTGTTTTAGCGCTTTGATCTGTGGAATTGTTTGCTCCGGGACATCTGTGTCCTGTCTATTTGTATTGCTTATTTGTGATATTTTTACAAATTTTAAGTAGTACTAAGTTATTTTCTGCGATAATTGCAATTCCATAATCGGCTTCTCTGACAAATCATTAATACAATCTAGGCAATTATAAAAGCAAATTCCTGTGGAGAATGTCCTTACATTTGTGGACATATGTGCCAAAGTTTTTATTAAAAAAGAGGTCAAAAGAATGATAAAATAACTTATTCAAAAGATCATTTTGAAAGGTGCCTGTTTAAATGTGGACACCACAGACCACATTGTTGACCACTGGGCTACATTTCTGCATTAATGAGCTCAAAAGATAGGTTCATAGAGACAGATTATCACATCGCCTTTGATCTGCCAAGTATCCTAAGCGCCGTTGTATCATATGATTTGAATAACATACATGACCTTTCTCATAGGGTGTTGAATCGTTCAGATTTGAAGCCATTTGCATGGTTGTATCTTTATAATGAGATAGATCGTATACATCCTATGTCTTTTAAGGTGATGAAGGATTGATGATTAAATTTTCCCACAA